AGTTGACAGAGAGGCCCAGCGTTTTCAGATGGCCGAGGAGAACTGCGCGGTGCGACAGAAGCTCCGTCTGTGATTGGGCCAAAATCAGCCAGTCGTCCAGATAATTCAATATGCGCAGCCCCTGGCTCCGCAGGGGGGCGAGCGCCGTATCCATGCACTTCGTAAATGTGCGGGGCGCCAGGGATAAGCCGAACGGGAGAACGGCGTATTGATAAACATGACCCTCGAAGGCGAAACGTAAGAATGGCCTGTGACGGGGATTTATCTGGATCTGAAAATAGGCGTCTTTCAGGTCTAGAAAGATGAACCAGTCCCCCTGGCGCACCTGCGCGAGGAGTTTCCTGGTAGTGAGCATCTTGAACGGTCTCTTCATGAGCACTTTGTTCAAAGACCTGAGATCTAAAATCGGTCTGAGGCCGCCGTCTTTCTTGGGAACCAGAAAATAACGGCCGTAAAACCCCGACTCGGTCATAGATGGTGGGACTCTCTCTATGGCGCCCTTTTAGAACAGCGTCGCAATTTCGGAGCGGAGCGTGCCGGCGGCCAGTGGGCTGACAGTAGATTCGAGCCGCGCGCGCGCACGAGGCGGGCGGCGGCGAAACTGTAGCAGATAGCCGTTCTTTATAATGCTTAGTACCTGGAATGGCTTCCCACGCTTTGGAGCATGCGGCTAGTGGCCGAATGGCTAAATCGCCCTGATTGCTGCACATAGCGGGCTGGACACAGTGTGTGGGCGCGCTTTGAATGTGTGTGGCAACGGGATTTGCACTCAGAGAGGAGTCTATGGGCCGTGAAACAGAGCGAGCAGAGAGGGGACACGCGCACGAGCTCGTGGGCGTGTTTATGTTCTCTGATATTAGAGCGGGCTGTGCCCGTTTCATGTGATGGGGCTCTGATAGAGACACGGGATATGTTATGCTTGTGTGTATGGGTGAGCACATGATTGTGGGCACATTTTCTACACAACTGGCAAATTTTCTCTTTTTGAGATTTCTCTGGGTAGCCGTAAAAACGGCTTTTTGTCGCTCGCAAGCGGGCTGGGACACCGGCTTGTTTGTGGCAGTCAACACTACAGCAGTCGGCGAAACAACGGGGACTGGCAGAGGGCGAAGCTTTGACGGCGGTCCGGCCGCAGCGGGAGAGCACCGTCGTTTTCTTGACTTTGCTAGGCAGACTTCTGATGATCAGGCTTCAGCGTGATCTTAGGTCGCGGGCCTCGTGGGGGCGGCGGTCTGCGGCGGCTGTCAGAGCGAGAGCGAGGGCGGCCGCCCTGTCTGCGCTGGGCTGTTTGAGTCTGCGGAGGGGGGCGCTGTGGTGGAGCTCTGGCAGGAGGCTCGCGAGAGCGGCCCGCGGAAGAGCTAGCGCGGCGGGGCAGAAACAAATTCATCGCCTGAGTAGCTTTCTGGACCTCAGAAAAGCGATCGACGATTCCCGTGACAGCAGATCCAAAAAGGCCCGTCGGGGAGAGGGGCGCGTTAAGAAACGCGGCGCGCTCAGAATCTCCCATGTCGGCGAGCGTGAGCCATAAGTGTCTCTCGGCAACACAAAGGCTGGCCATGCATCTCCCCAGAGCTTGTGCGGCGGCTTTAGTGGCGCGAAGGGCGAGGTCCGTAGCACTTCTCAGATCCGTGACAGCGGGGGAGGGGTTTCTACCGCTTTCGGCCCACTCACGGAGAATATCGCTCTGTAATACTTGGAGGACAGACATAGAATGTAGCGCAGCGGCGGCCTGACCGGTGGCGGCGTAGGCGCGAGCATGAAAGCTCGAGGTCGCTCTGCAAGCTTTCGAAGGAAGCGTGGGGGAAGAGCGCCATCTAGCAGAGGGCGGGCAGAGGTTTGCGGCGACCAAGTCCTCAACGGGCGGCATGGCTGAGTAACCTTTTTCGGCGGCTCCGTCCACCGAGCGCAGCGAGGCAGATATATCGGAGCGGATTCTAGCCGAGAGCGGGGCATTCCAGGACTTCGTCAGCTCTGTGTGAAGTTCAGGCAGGAATGGGGCGGCCCGGTTACACGCGGGGGTCGAGCGCCGATGAAAAAAGCTGCCGTCCATCCGGTTCGGGGCCTGCTCGGGTGGAGGAGACCACTCGAGACCGAGGCGTTCGACGGCCTGTGAGAGGAGGCGCATTAGTTCCTCCTCTATCCCGGCGCGGATCCCCGCCGACTCTCTTGTGGATCCGAGAGATGACCATTCTTCACTGTCTGATGCGAGCAGTGAGCAGGAGTCCTTCTCCTCCGCGGCGTCATCGGAAGCGACAGAACGGCCACTCGGCGGCAACTGTATGTCCGGCAGGGGCGGGGAGGGAGAGCGGGAAGCGGGAAGCGACGGCGGCGGCCCGCATGGTTCCGCAGGGGGCTCCGGCGGCCTCTGGGAGCGGCGTTTCTTCTTACGCGGCGAAGAGGGAGGCGGCGCGGGAGCGGATTTTGCTGCCAGAAGTCGTGCCCGCAGGGACGACAACGGCAGGCTCTCACAGAAGTCGCATCCTCCATCCGCGAGGGCGAGTTCTGCGTGCTCGAGTCCCAGGCAGAGAGAGCAGATGACATGGCGGTCTCCGTCCTCGAGACGAGCGCGGCAAGAGCCGCAGGAAAAACGAGACATCTTTAAAAAGACGCTCGTCTCTTTTAGATATAAATAGAGAAAAGAGAAGGATACAGTCATCGGATGGCGCTAGCTTGCAGGGCGGCTGAAGGTGGCGAAGACGGCCGGCTTCTTCAGGGTCCGGGAGCTCGCTAGAGTGATGCCTTCTCGACGGCGACGGCTTTTCTCAGGACAGCAGAAGCGTGCAGCTTGCTGAAGATGAAATGAATCAACATATAAGCCTGGGAGAGACTGTTATATACACCATAGCCACGCCCATTCTGGCGGGCCATGACGCAATGAGCGCGCGGGCGCCTCTCATTGGAAGCGGGTTCAGCCCCACTCTCCCATAGGCTTAAGCAGTTCTCTCTGAGCGAACCAATGAGCTGCTAGCTAGCCTGCTCTAGGTCTGCCGCAGAGGAACTGCATTGTCAATGGATACAAATTATGAAATAATTTTTTGGCTTTAATATCTCAGCAAAGATGAATCTTTCCCGCAGCGTAAGCTAGCTTACGCAATACGAGAGAACCTCTCGTAAGAGAACATATGTTTTTTTTTACTTTAACTTGTCAAAATAAGTTAGGTAACTTTCAACTTTAATAAGTTATACAAGATTGAACTAATTTTTAAAAGTCAGTTTAATGTAATTTAAGTTGAAATGACTTACACATCCAAGTTGATTGTAATTAAAAATATAAGGCAGCAACTTTTTCTTTTTATAGAGTAACATCATTTCACTAATCATATCATGTGAACAAGTATTCAGATCACTCTATCATTCTGACTGGATTATAAGAGCGGGCTGATGGCCTGAAAGAACCATTTACTGGATCATCAAGAACTTCCAGGAGAGGTTCAACAGCAGTAAATAAGTTTTCAGGACTTTCCTCCAGAGTCAACTACAGAATCGTGTCAGCACCAGTGCAGAGCTTGCCAAAAACACTCCCATGGATGCAAGAACAACTTCTCCCAAAGAACCAGGAGGAATTGGTGATGATCTGTGCATTTTCCAGCATTATGGAACATCATCTCACAAGGTAAGAGTGATAATGAAGTGGCTCACAAATCAGTACATTGAAATTTTGGATCCATGGGATCTTAATCCCATAGAACCTGTGGTCAATCCTCAAAAGGAGAGTGGACAAGCAGAAGTCCACAAATTGTGATCAACTCCGGACACTAATAAGGCAAAAAGTGATCTCCATCATTCAGGATTTGTCCCAGAAGCTGATATGCCAGAGCGAATTGCATGGTTTTGAAGAAGAAGGGGCAATATTGACTCTGTGAATGCAGTATATTGAATGTTTTTGCTAATAAAAGCCTTTACGTATGAAATGCTTCTCATTGTTTTTCAGTATACCATAAAATAACCTTTGTGAAACAAACTTTATGTCAAAGATCTCAACAATGTCTCAGACTAATTTGCCAAGATACCAAAGCCTCATTCAAAAGTGAAAGATCTCCAAAAGAACTCAATACTTCTCGAATACTCGATCCACATTCATTTTATAGCTCTTTGCCCTCACTGGAAGTCAACTATTAACCCATTGGGATCTATTTTTATCTAGATTTTCAGAGAAACATATGTGACAAAGTTGACACTCAAAACATAACTTAAGTCTCTTGAGCTGTGAAAGAGAAAGCTCAATAAAAAGAAATAAAATCTTCCTCTGGGATTACACACTCAAGAAAAGGTTATATATGGAACATTAAAGGAATAGTTCACCCAAAAATAAAATTTACAAACCCTCGTGTTGTTTCCAAACCTGTATGAGTTTCTTTCTTCTATTGAACACAAAATAAGATATTTTGAAGAATGTTGGTAATCAAACAGTTGACGGTATAGCCATTGACTTCCATAGTATTTTTTTTTCCCAACTGGAAGTTAATGGTTACCGTCAACTGTTTGATTACCAACATACCCATAATGGGATTTAGATTAGTTGTAATGAATTTTGTTTTAATTCATTTATATTATATACTGTATATATATATATATATATATATATATATATATATATTTATTTATTTAAATTTTATGAATTAAACAGTTCATCATATACTTCAACAATAGTTCAAACAAAAAGGACATATGATATTATGCAATAATTTAAGACATTTCTCCTCATATAGAACCTTTTTGGCATAAAGCGTATTTTAAAATGGAGTCAAGAACCCTAGTTCTATATAGAAACCCACTGAACCTTTTAGTGGATGTTTCCACTCAATTTACATTTCATTTAGACAATGATGTCATCCTCTCCTGTTATCGTGTTTATTTCATTTGATGAGATCATCATCCTCTCCTCACTGAAACAGAATGTAGATCCTGTCAGTCAAAGCCATGTAAACATTAACAATCCAATTGAATCATAGGCTCATTATCTGGAGTTTATCTGGAGTTTCAACTTTGTCCTAGAACAGGGAACTCATCCAGGAACACAACTGTGAGAGGACAGCACCACACTGACATACTGCATTTTTCTCTCTGGATTTTAATCTTCTGTTTTCTTGTACATGGATTCTAGTGCCTGGAACATGGCATTTCTCTCAGACAAGGTGAAGTATTGCATTCCCATTGCTTTTTACTGGGATTTTCATTGTTTGGGATGGGGTCGTTCTCAGGTAACAGTGCCATTTTTATGCTTGATAAAAAAAACAAATCTGAACCGGCCCACCTCAGGCCCAGTACCACCTGTAACCGCCATGACACCTTAACTGGGTGCGTCCTACAATATATTATATGCCTAAAATTCCTAAATTTGGAAAAATAAACAAGTATATACCAACAGTACTGTATACACGTACCAGTCAAAAGTTTGGAATAATTTAGATTTTTTGAAAGAAGTCTTCTATGTTCACCTTATGCTCTTACAATCTAAAAAATGCTGGGTTATTTTTAAACCCAAATGCTGGGTTGAGCATTTTGACTATATTGCTGGATTATTTTCTCCGTTATCAGCTGACAATAACCCAGCATTTGGGTTTGTTTCAGAAACTTTGACCTAGCGCTTACATATATGCTGTAAAAAATACAGTAAAAATGTAATTTTTTCCTGTGATCTGTTTTTTTCATTATCATTATTCCAGTCTTCAGTGTCACGTGATCCTTCAGAAATCATTCTAAAATACCCTTAGAAGAGACTAAAAGAGACTTCTTTTAAAAACATTACATTACTCACAATAAAAAATTATTCCAAACGTTTGACGGGTAGACTGTTATAAATAGTTTACAGTAGGATATATGATATAGTATATATTATATAATATTTATTTAAATAGGCTTTTTTACAAAAAAAAAGCCTATTTACTTGCCTATTGTCAAATTTACTTTATAAAAGAGCCAGATTTCTAACTTTCATTTATGGGGATAACATGGATAATTTTAAATGATGTAATGTAAGATTTTTGCCCATTTTTTTTGTGGAAAATGCAGTTAAAAAAAAAAAAAAAAACTCACTTTAGATGGCCATAGACCTCCACTATAAGCTATTTGCTATGTGATTAACCAAACTATATATCTTTTCACAAGTTTTTCCAGTTGGATTCATATCTAAATATTATAAAATCACAATTATAACACACACAAAAAAAACTTTTTGTCAAAGTTTAGCATTTTTTTTATTATCATTATCATTATCATTATCATTATCATTATCATTATTCCAGTCTTCAGTGTCACGTGATCCTTCAGAAATCATTCTAAAATGCCTTTAGAAGAGACTAAAAGAGTCTTCTTTTAAAAACATTACATTACTCACAATAAAAAATGATTCCAAACGTTTGACGGGTAGACTGTTATAAATAGTTTACAGTAGGATATATGATATATATGAATGGGGACATGCTAAATGTTTGATGATCCAATAAAAAACATTTATAATCTTTGTTCTCCTTTTAAAAAAAAAATTTATTACACACTAAACAGAGCTATGGCACTGCTTTTTGAGAATAACCCAAATAATGTGGTTGAGCTTGATGATCTGAAGATGAATAACCCAGAGAAAAATGATTGTCTAGGAAGAATTTGATTTAACCCTCTGATTATCTTCATTTGTGTCTACAGTCATTATCTTTGGGGTCTCCAGGGACCCCAGACAATAACATTTAATTTTGTAACAGAATAATATATAATTTTTTTTACAAATGTAATTTTAGTCTGTTTATTATTTTTTTTACTCAACATTTGTGCAGTTTTAGGAGGATCTTTGATATCTTTTAAATTTCTATAAATAAATAAATAAATATTTTTTTTTAAATAGGCTTTTTTACAAAAAAAAAGCCTATTTACTTGCCTATTGTCAAATTTACTTTATAAAAGAGCCAGATTTCTAACTTTCATTTATGGGGATAACATGGATCATTTTAAATGATGTAATGTAAGATTTTTGCCCATTTTTTTTGGAAAATGCAGTAAAAAAAAAAAAAAAAACTCACTTTAACCACTAGATGGCCATAGACCTCCACTATAAGCTATTTGCTATGTGATTAACCAAACTATATATCTTTTCACAAGTTTTTCCAGTTGGATTCATATCTAAATATTATAAAATCACAATTATAACACACAAAAAAAACCTTTTTGTCAAAGTTTAGGATTTTTTGTACAGACAAAAGTTTTTCAATAATGTTACATTATGATTAGAATCAAACCTGAACAAGACTCCAAATGTTGGAGTCTTTAGATTTTATAATTTATTTCAATCATCTGTTTTTAATATAATTCTACAATTTTAAATTCTACAATTTTACTAACTGTAACAGAACAAAAAATTACAGAAATGAACAGTTATATTACATATTGAGTAAAAATACATGACATGAACATCAAAATGCAATGAACTGAACAGCAATAAAAAATGAGCAAATAAAGCAGTAAAAAAATAAAATTTAGTTAAAAAAACTGAACGGAGAAAAAATCGAACAACTACGAACAATAATTGGTGGTCATCACATACAGTCTCGTTTACAGTGCACTGCAGGCGTTTATGCGTCAGTGCACTGCAGGCAGTATGCATTGTATAGCCTTACAAATGTATTACTGTGTGTGTGTGTGTGTATGTGTGTGTGTGTGTGTGTGTGTGTGTGTGCATTGTGGATTTTTTTTTTGCATTGTTGGAAGTGTGCCACTTTATTTCTGTCTATGTGATCTGCGTTGTTTCTTCGTTGTTTCTGATTTTGATGATGAATTTTGTATGTTCACTATGCGGGGTCTCCAGGGACCCCGAAGATAACAAGTGTCGGCATTTTTTTCACGCTAACATAAAAACAGATATCATTCCAAATTATAATTTTTTTGTTAGATCTAGACAGTGTTAAGAGGCGTAGAAGTTTTCATACCATTTGGACAAAGAGAACATTTTTTTTAAAATTCACCAAAAGTCATTTGCGGGTCAAAAAGACCCCGAAGATAACCAGAGGGTTAAAATTTTTTTTTGAGTTCTCTGGCAGATCTTGGCAAATCTGAGACATTATTGAGATTATAGAGAGAAACATCTGAGAAAACTAGAGCAAACTTGCTCTCCATTTATATCTCACCAATCCAGAACAAAATAGCGTCCTGCCATTTTGAGGTTTTATTGAACCAGTGTATTTGCTGTGCTTGAAAGCTTGTGGAAATGACAATTATACAAACCCTGAGGATAATTATCTTTTCCTAATTAGTCTAGTAACTCATCGGCGTGCACGTAAACAAGAATAAAACCCAAGGCTCCTCTCAGAGTTTTTCCATTAACAACAAGATGAGGCAGAGAAAGTTCAACAACTCTACTCAGACTAAAATGTCGTAATTACTCACACGCACTCATCCGTGAGAGATGTTTGCTCTGTGAGTGTTACTTTGCCATCTCTAATCTTGATTTAGTACAGCAATCAGTTTCTATAAAACCTCCCAAATGAAACTGGAAGTTAAAGTTAGCTCTTTTGCATGTTTAGCTTTCTTTTGTTTGATGACAAAATGCAAATCAACCCATCTGGCTTTGAGTCTCACTTCACAAACATCCTTGAAACCGCCAGCTATGTGAAACGGCGCTTTAGAGGTTGGTTCAGGTATGCCGTGGTTTTGTGTGACTCTGATTAGCACAAGCCATACAAAACTTTGCTCAGATGAGATAAGCTTATCTTCACTGCTAAACTGCATGAACAGGAGCGATATAGGTTGCGGGCTGCTGAAGAATCCTGTCAATGAAACACAAATAACCTAAAGGTTGAGAGAACATGCCCGTCTGGGATGAAAACTAAGCTGAGGTTTAAAGATCCCAAGAGTTTGGTATTCGTTGGAGAAATTGATCTGTTTTGGTATTAGATACCCACTGCCACCTTCTCATTCTAAGCACGAGCTATCAAAGTGTTCAGTGTGGCTTTTTCATACCAAATGAAACCTTTCCTTTTGGAAATCCGTCAATAAGACACAGCCGTCCATGCAAGGACAAAGGGAAGTTTAATTGCTCTTTTATCAGTAAACTATTTCTACTTTGGTAATTTTTTCAAGTATCTGTATTTTATCAGAGTGTTTTTATTTTGGGAAACTTACGTTTACTTCACGTCAATCCCATGTCAAAAAAAGGGTTTGAAAACAGCCAATGATCAGGGCCGATTACATCCTGTCAATCAAAAGTGGGCGGATAAACGTGTTCAGACTGCGACAATAACACATTAACAGGTAAAAAATAATGATGTCCGATTCATTCTTTCCAATGAACCTGTTGAATTGGTTCACAAACAACACTGCAAATACCAATCTACACCAATCTTTCTTATGCTGACTCTGACTAGTGCTGGCTGGAATAAATAGCTATTTGGTTCATTGATCATTACTCGGTCAGTACTTTTTACTTTAAATAGGCTACTTAATAAGTACATTTAAAAATCAAGTACTTTTAAGTAAAACTTATTACAGCCCGGAAAGTACTGCGTAATTAAAGCGATTTTACAGTGTAACCTTCGGTAATTATAGTGTACCTATAACTAGTTACAATGTAAGTATAATGGAACAATATGTAAAGTTTGGGGAATAAAGGGGTAACAACCAGGAGAACTAAAAAATTATTTATACTGTAAGTATTATAGAACTAAGGGGTATATGATTATTATGATATAACAATCTTACATTTGGTAGCAATTTAGTGAGAACATGCACTGCATACCTTTTTGAAATAATGGTGAACCAATACTGTATAGCCTTTTTAAAAATTACAGGGTACATATCTATGCATTCATAAAGTAATCTTTTTAACAAAAATGCACCGAAAACAAAAACTATTGCAACTTTTGCTTAAAAATTGGGTTCCATGTAGTTACTGGGTAAGTGTGACATTGCGGGCTGTTAATTAAAGTGGTGCTTGTTACCCTTGTTCCATGTAGTTGAAGGGTAAGTACAATAAAAATGCATACACACAATCTTATATCACTGACTTGGAAACCTTTATTTATTATACAAGCACTACTTACCCTGTAACCACATCAAACAAGATATATTTCCCAGTATTTAAAAAAAACTGCAATAGTCGTAGCTTTTCTTGCCTTGAAACGTTAGCCCAACTTAAACATCTGCACTTTTG